TGTAAAATTCTTACTGGCGATCTTGCATGTGATAAAGTTTTGATACCTCGGATGACAATAACTCCTTCAGATGTTAGAGTACCATTCAAATTTCAAAAAAGGCACTTCTCCGTTATGGTTTCGTACGCAATGACTATAAACAAGATTCTAGGTCAATCATTATCGCATGTTGGCTTATTCTTGAAGAAACCATTTTTTAGACATGACCAGTTATATGTCGTTGTCTCCCGTGTTACTAACAGAAAAGGTCTGAAAATTTTAATTTGTGGAGAAGAAGGTTTGAAAGAAAATTAAACCGATAATGTTGTGTATAGAGAAGTGTTTAATAATATATGATTTTTGTTTATATTTTGTATTCCTCTATCCTCTTTCTATTGTAATTAAATTATTAATTTATAAAAAAATATTTAAAATAAAGTTTAAAAAAAAAGGTTTGAGGAAATAACCCCGCCGTGCTGCGCACGGGTACCATACTAGTTACGTTTAAAAGGAATTAAATTTTTAAACGTGATTAAGTTAATTAAATTAATATAAAACGTGATTAAAAAAATTAAATCAAATTAAAACTTTTTTTGAAAATACGTTTACTAAAAAACATATTTTCGAAATACGTTTTACCTACTAAAACGTATTTTCGATATATGTTTGTTTTTAAAATAAATTTTATATACTATAAATATATATAAAAAATTTGTAAAATTTATTATTTAGTGAATTTTTTTAATGGAAAACGTATTTTTAGAATACAGTTTCTTTAAAGAAATCGTATTCTCACAATACGTTTTTCATTAAAAAAAAATTTAAAACGTATTTTGAAAATACGTTTTACTATACAGAAACAACAATTTTACAACAGAAATAAAAGAGAACACATGTTTGTCGAAATCGATTCCACAACCAAATATTCAACAACCAAAATTCATCCAAAATATATCAATTCCACAAACAAAATTGAACCACAATAAGTTATTCAACATACCAATATGTCTGAATTTAATTACACAAAAGTCAAGAAAAAAAAATGTCCATAAATTTCCTAATAGTTGCTAGGAGTGAATTGATCCGGAGGTCTGCGCTGTCGGGAGCCCATCCGACGCTGGTACGTCTATAAATAAGACGAGGTTGTGGGCGTGGCAGCTTCTTCTTCTGCATCTGAATAATTGATATTTTAAGAAAATCAGAAATTCTACTTGACAATAAATAAATAACTAAATAATTTAAAAATCATATTGC